CACCGGCACCGGCACCGGCACCGGCACCGGCACCGCGACCGCTGCGGGGAGCGGGCTTGGGCCGGAGCCCCTGGCAAGGAGCGTCGGAAAACGCGGCCTAAGGCCCGGAGGACAGCCGGGGGAAGGGGCAGGAGCTCTCCCCGGCCCCCCCCTCCCCGCCAGGCATCCCCCATCTCCCCGGTCCAGCGGCGGGCGGGAACACACCGGCGCTCCGAGGTATCAACCGGAGCCGGTATTTCTGTAAGCACGGACATAAAAATATACCCACGCACGGGTGTGGCACGAATCGCGTTTTGTCAGCTGTCTGGGGCACTGACTGGGCGAAGGAGCCTCACTACAGCCACGGCCTCTGCACGCTGGAGCAAAAAAGAAAAAAAAGCAAAAAAAAAAAGGAAAAAAAAAAAAAGCAAAAAAAAAAAGCAAAAAAAAAAAAGCAAAAAAAAAAGCAAAAAAAAAGCAAAAAAAAAGGCAAAAAAAAAAAGGCAAAAAAAAAGGCAAAAAAAAAAGGCAAAAAAAAAAGGCAAAAAAAAAAGGCAAAAAAAAAAGGCAAAAAAAAGGCAAAAAAAAAAGGCAAAAAAAAAAGGCAAAAAAAAAGGACAAAAAAAAAAGGCAAAAAAAAAAGGCAAAAGCAGCTGAACGCGTGTTTACACCCATAGAGCGGGCCAGAACAGGGTTTCTAAGTCAATTGCAAGATCTGAAACTGGGGAGTTTCAAGGTACGATCGCCTTTCCTGCAGTTCTGGATCACGTCAGCGTTTCAGCAGCTACAGGCTGGCCCCTGCGAGCCCCGAAGCGAGCCCTTCCTTCTCTCTTCTGAAGGGCTGGCGGTAGCCCAACACCTTCGCTCCTCCGGTGACGTTCCTCTCCTCCAGCCCCCTGCGTCCACTTTCCTCTCCCCTGCCTTCCACATACATCCTCCCCGCAGCCTTGCTTTCCTCTCTGCTGTTCCCTTGCACGTTCTCCTCCTGCCCAGTAATGTTTCCAGGCTACGGGCAGCTCTTTGGCATGGAGCAAAGAGATGAAGGTTCATACAATCGCCGTATTTACATAACGACATTTTAGATTAGAATGAACAAACCTTTTCTATTTGTGAAGCACTTTTATTAGAAAAAAAAAAAATTATGAAAAAGGGTATATAACAAATATAATCTCTGAAGTTGGTCGGAATTTTTCAAGTTGAAACTGAATCCTGAGGGTTGTTCCCCCCCCACCAAAGAACAGAACAGTTTGTCTGAGTCATGGTTTTGTTCTTTTTTATAACCAGAATGTCCATGTTCAGAAGTCTTTGCAAGTATCTACATGAAATCCTAGGACTGAATTTCATATCCCAAAGGATCAAGATCCTGGTCCAAAAGCATCAGAGAAGATTCCCTCAGCTTCTGTAGAAGCTTCCGGAGTTCTTCTTTTGAAAATACCTAAGAAAAATAAAATTAAAAATAATGAAGTTATATTTATTTGCAATGAACAGCACTGATATCAAAGTAAATGGTGGTTAATTAAGTTGTAATTTTTTTTTCCCCCTTTCTTTCTATTGAAGACAGTGTGAACATCTGACATTTCAGAAAGGCATTTAGTAAAGGACTGGAAGCTAGTAGTAGTAGTATCCAAAACCTGAAGATAGTCTCAAGATAGCTCTGTCTCATAACCACTACAGAGATTATTGCTAAACAGCCAAATTTAATTCTCCTGTTATTGCTGGCAGAGATCTTAGGCCAATCCAGGCAAATGCATCACAGTGTTTTTCTTGGCCTTGATGTTTCTTTTCAGATGTCTAATCCTTAGGCCTTTTTTTTTTGGGGGTGGGGTGGGGTGGGAGTGTTGTGGTTTAGGTGTGGGGGGGTTGGTTGAGTTTGGGGTTTTTTTAAGTGATAAAGTTTTTTGGGGTTGTTTTTCAGGCTTGTGGAAGAAAAGAAGGTTAGGTAAACCCAAGTGCTCCAAAACAAAACCTGCTTATACAATGTTCTGAAATGTAATGGAAATAAAAAAAGAATCAATTACAATTCTACAGTTCAACTTAGAATCGTTTAGGTTGGAAAAGACCTTTAAGATCATCGAGTCCAACTATTAAACTTAATTCAATTCAATAGCCCCCATCCAAAAATTAGTAACTGCACTACTTGGAAGAACTGCTTGTCAGAAGACTGGCATCATCTTCAGGGTTTCAAAGTTAACTCTCTGATTCCTTAAGTCAGCATACAAGGAAGCCCTTTATTACTGCAGTGAATGGCAAGAGATAAAGAAACTTATGATGTTAAGGAACATATGGCGTCTTCCTCTCTATATAGAAGCTTCTTCCACAGTCAACCCACAGAGCTTTTAAATGGAAGCTAAGCTGCCTGCAGCTCTCACTAACTCACCGTATAAAGCTTGTGTCGTTCAGAAGCGACCATGTCAGCCAGTCGCAGGCACTCCTGATACTGTCCAGTACTGTGTAACACTGTGTGCAGTAAAAAGCACATCATTGGCAGACACAGCTTGCGCAGCAAAATCATCTGGTGCGTTCGTTCAGGGTCATCCTCGGCATCCTTACGATAGCAAAATAACGTATTAGTATTATGAACGTCTACCTTTAAAAGGCAACTCAGCATAACCACATAATTAGTAGCGTCAGAGGCAAAAAACTGGACTAACCAGCCTGGACTGGACTGCCAGAGCTGATTTGTACAGTAATCGAAGGGGAAGCAATCTGTAACTGGTCACAGCAAGGCCAGAGTGAATTAAGCAGAAGCACATCAAACTAAAGGTGACAAAGGTACAACTGAGTACAATCCATGCTTTGTGGTCTGCGCCATGATATAAAAATTCATTTTACCTCTCTAACATCAACCATCCATCCTCCATCAACAAACAGCAACACATTGTACATTTTCTCTTTCACATCAGCTGTAAGAGCATCCAAGAGGCCTTTCCAAATACCATAATCCATCTGGCAAAGAAATAAAAAATAAACTACTGCAGAACAGGATAATTTCCAAGGCTATTTTAGGACAGACTCTTCACCTAGCATGCAACAGCCAGCGCAGCTCCAATTCAAATTAGAATCTTCAGCCAATGGCTAAAACTTAAAAGCCTGCTGCTAACAGCTATTTCCATCCTTGCTTAATTCCCTGTCCAGAGTGTCAGACAGGCTGTTCGGAAGCAAAGCCACCAGAGGAAGATAATTTTAAACAATTATTCTGCCATGCTTATAAAACACATACTTGTATTAACTGAATACAGTATATTCATACTGGCTAGACATGCAAAAAGAACTTTTGGCAAAACAAACAAAATGGCAGCATCTTTTAGAAAAGAAAATGTGACAAATACAAGAATAAAAAAGAGTTAATAGCAAAATCAAGTACTCAGAGTTATTAATAACACTGACAATCAACACATTACAATGAATATTTATTACTACTTGAAAATATTATATGTAAAGCTGAGTCATACAAAAAAAACCCCAACACACGAGAATTTATTGTGCAGTGGCATTACTATTCTACTGTTTCATACTCCCCCAATATAAAACCAGAATAATTTATAATAGAGTTCTTAAGCAATATGAATTAGCAGTCTTCTACTCCGTTTCATTAAACTAAGACCACCTCCTAGGCAAGAATGTACATGTTCATAGTAAATAACTTGAACTTTTACATACCTCATACTTCTTTTCTTTATGTTCATGGGCCACTTTTTCAGTGAAACTTGCTTGTGGTAACAAAGAAGGCTTCTGTGGAGCTGAGTTCATGTGTTTAAACCATTCGTTAAAGGTTTCGTGGGCTTCCTGGATTGCATTGGAAACAGTCTTTTGACTTACATAATTACAAGAATGTCATTAAATGCACAGATATAGTGCATCCAGGAATCAGAAGTTAGATCAAATGGACAAAACTTGAAGTTTCACCACCAAGGCAAAGCCACCATTATTTCTAAGTAATAACTTGGAATACAGCATATCTGAAACTCACCAAATATGCCCGAATACATAAATGTTCCCGTATAGCATTGTCATCTTCAGCTGGAAGCGGAGTATCCATTCCCTGTTCTTCCCATTGGTTATATATTTCTGCTATAGAGTCTTGGGGAATCTTCACGAACACATCTTTTGCAGCTTCATGTTTCTTGGATGCTATGAGAACATGAACTGAGTATCAACAGCTTTGCAATTTCCATACTTTATTTTTATAAAAACTGACAAACCAATGCTTTTTAATAGACTAGGTTCAAAGTTATATCAAGTGTAATGCCAAGAGCCAACAAGAACAAAAACAACATTTAAAAGGTCAACAGTATTTGCGAAATTCAGTACCCAAGAACTTCCTCATGATTGCATTGCTTTGCTTAAGTGCTTCCGCCCTCTGTGCAGGATCAAATACAAGCCAATCAATTACATCTATTTTCAGCCGATCCGCCTGTAAAAAACAACATATAGACTCACTAACATTTCAAGCATACAGCTGATGGTAGACAGGTTAAATCTGGTCAATGAAATACACAAGTTTCTAGAGATATTTGGATAGCATTACGACATACTAACAAGGATAGCTTTATTCACAACTTTAGTATCAAAAGCTTAGAAAACAATCTCTGCAACCTAGAATAATTAAAAAATCCATTTCTAAGTATTCGCAAGATATTCAGACCAATGGATGAACATCAGGTCTCAAAAATTTTTATGGACTACCATGTGTCTTCCTCAAACTTTAATATGAATACACTGTACAAACATGATTTATGGAGCCCTTGCTATAATCTTCAGGGGTGCCATCAACCTGCAACCAGTTTTCCAACTCTTGCATTAGATAAACTACCTATTTGGCTTAGAGTTTAAACTTTGTACTGAACAGCAAAAAAATTGCCACAAGTTTGTAAACTATCAGTTGCTTTCTAAAGAGTACTTTGAACGCAAGCTATTAACAGTACCTCACTGTCACTGAAGTACTGAGTTGGATCCAACCAACACTCAATAGTGATGACAAGGAAACTGTCAGTAAAGGCAATCTGTCATAGCTAGAATACGTCACTTGAGCATGTGATAAGGTACATCTGAGATCCAGAGTATTAATCCTCATAATTCTTAGAAGCTACAATAATACCCTGCTCTCAGCTACAACAGATTTTGGTATAGTAATTTCATGGGCTTTATCTCCACTTACTGTTTGCATACAGACATGCTGCTGAGCAACATACACCACAGCCCAGAATATGAAGGAGATGTAGAAACAGAGTTATGAATTCGTGCAATTCAGCTCCTCACTTGGTCACATGGAAAGTACACTTCCCTCACAGGATTTTTCAAGGCAATTTCCACCATTGTTGAAAGAGAAATATGGATCATATACAGTAAAAGACTCTGTAGTTGATTGCAAACTGGAATACCTGCCCTACGAAGTACACTTACCTCTGTTGTGCCCATATCTAACATATGGTCATGGTGACTGAATTCACCAGCATCCTTCTTGCGGATGTTTTCAACAACAGTTTTTGTTATGGTTGCAACATCCAGACCTGGGTTAAAAGAGAACTATGTAAGAGCGATCATGAATTCAAACTTGCCACAAAATGAATTTCAGACTCCAATTGTTGATCTTATTCCTTACTATCAGTAACTCTCATCAGTCTGTTCACACTCACATTGTCGGACTAAATTATAAGCTTTTGAGATACGTAATTTATTGCAGGTATTTTAGAAGAATGATATTTGAGATAACAGAGAACACCAGACATGGGAAAAAGAATAAGACAACTAACAAGTTTTTCAGTCTGTGCTGGGGACCAGCATATAGATGTATTTGCTAAGACCACTGATTCCTACAAATCTGATGGCAAGACTATGATTTGACAGGAATGTACCAGGAAAAGCTCAGAATAGTTCTTTTACAGATGCTGAAGCAGGATGGGGTTTTTTTTTTGAAACCTTAGCCAAGTTTTTAAAAGAAAACAACTAAAAAATGATCGAAGAAAAGTCAGACACTGAAGTCTGCAGTAAATCTATCTCTTTGTGAATTTTGAGTGGCACAGAGGCATTGTCAAACAATGGACAGTGTGCTGCTTCACTGTAGTCCCTTTTAGTTTGATGTGTGGGCCTGGAAGCAAGCTTACGATTAATGCAAGCAACTCACCGTGGCTAAGAAAGAGCACTATAAATAGGACCAAAAAAATCAAGATACTCATAACCTTCCTAAATCCCCAAACAGGTTTGTATTTTTATAATTTGTTTTCTGAAATAATATGATCATGTCAAGCTTCAGAGCTTCAGCTTGAGGCAGGCAGCTGGCATTTACTTCCTGCTGTGTTTGGACATAATCCAGAAGCAAAAGTGATATTTAGTTTAATTCAGAGAAAGAATTGCGATTCCAGGTTAGTTAAAAACCACAATATAGCTACTTGAAGAAGTGATCAGCAAATTAATTTTATTTAATTGAAAAATGAAGAGACACAGGAAGGAAACATTATCATCTTCATAGCTAGGTCTTATTAAAAGCTACTGAAACACAAAATAATCCAGCATATAAAATGGTAACTGGAATATCAGTATATCTCACCTGCATCTTTTGCTAATTCAAGGCAGTGGTGGCGTTGATCACTTTCAATAACATCTTCAAGAAATAAAGCATACTGAGCAACAGCTAGCTCTGGGGGCAAGTGGCTAACATAAAATGCTATTAAATCTGTGTGCTTCTCAGATACCATCCGCTGCAGAATAAGAAGCAAATATTTAGAAAAACATACTATATTCCTCTGTGTAAACACATGTAAAAACATGTTTTATGTAAAAACATCAATGTGTAAGAGATTTCTGATTATTTTCTTCTGACAGAGGAAGATTCCACTTCTCAGCTCCTAAACAAGGATCAATAAAACTGTCTCTTATTCAAGCACTGCTGACAGAAACTCTGCATATTAGGCAAGCTTCCATGTATCTCTTCTCAAGAGACCATTAACTGCGTCACAGCTCTTTCCATCCTGTAACCTTAAGTCTTCTTTTCTTCCCCCTTTATGTTTAAATTACACTAGAGAAAGCAAACTATATTTTTGAAAGCTTACCTGAATGTAGGTCTTTAGGACTTCAACAGAAACTTCCTCCTTATTGCAAACAAATAAAAATTCAGTTTTAAATCAGATAATGTGGCACAAGAAAAAAAAGATACTTTACAGGGTATCACTATTACACAGACACAAGGTTATTTGCTTATCCTTGCTTCAGTTAATTTACACATTCAAACAGGCTCAGCTGGAAGAACTGTTCCTCTTGGAGAGCGATTAAAAAAATAAGTCTTCTGATTCAAAGATTTAGTGTTCCAAGGATTTTCTTTTTCAGCAACTGGATAATACAGTTTTTGGTCTAACTGCAAAGT